GTTACCAATCAAATGAAATCAGTATTAACAAAATTAATTTGTAGAGGTGGCACAGAAGAACACAAAAGTGGCTTGATGTACTTTCAGACATTTAATGAGGTTCAGAAGTGGCATGAGTGCAATTAAATCCATAAATTCATGATGAGATTAATATTTTAAATATAAAATTTTGAATATAGAAATATTAAATTATTTAAATAACTGAAAAGATACTTTAAAAATAAAGCTAAAACTGCCAGCAGGTGGCGGCAAGTCACTGATTTTATCACTGAATCATTCATTCAATTGATTCATTCGAACGGCTGATTCATTCAGGAATGAAACAAGTGACTGTCTTTATGAATGGGTAATTGTGAATCACTGACTCACTAGATTCGTTTAAAAACGCAGTTCATTCATAAACGAGACACCGCTGTGTTTGAATGGAGATGCGCAGCGGCTCCGCTGTGTCTGTTTTAAACTATTTTCGACAACGAAATAGAGCAAAATCAGACAATAGTGTTATAGTCAGACAATGTAAGTCACTTAATATTAACTTCTTGTTTATTGAACTGTTGTATTAAATCAGTATCACATTTACAAACTCCCTTAAAAATCATTCAAAGCTGTCACTCATCTTAGCTCATCGCGATCTCACATTTATAATCAACGAAGCTCGCTACACTGCGTGATGAATCTCTTATTTACACCGGTCTACACTTTGCTTATGAAAGGATTCGTGAGATATGTCTGTGATACATTACTCAACGCTGCAAAAACACGTAGAAAGCTTTGAAGCTTCCCTGAGCGCAATCACAAGAATGATGATGATCGGGTCAGTCGCACTGGTGCGCCTAAAACATTTTTCATAGTCGCACGCAGTAGTTTTAAGTCCCAAATGCGACTGAAATGGTCACACTGTAAAGCCCTGCTCAGGGCGGAGCTGTGATAAAACCAAAGACTGACGCCACTGTCAATCAACAAACATGGGAGGGGCCTGTGCAGAACTACATCATTCTGCCAAGAATCTGAGATCAGCTTGATTTGAGAAAGGGGTATGGATTTATCAGGATTTAAAAAAAAAAAACACTGGCTGAATTTTTATCATTATAGGGTGGTGTACACACACTGCCAAGACACATTTTAGTTCAAACAACATGTAAAAGTGAATTTTGCATCCGATGTCCCCTTTAATGATAGGTGGGATTAATCGCGATTAATTTCTGAAAAAAAGTGCGATTAATTAGTTTTTTTTTTTTTTTTTAGTTTTTTTAATTATTTTACATAATTTCAGTCATTATTCTGTTCATCAGCAGAAAAAGAAGAAAAGTGATGGTTATGACATGTTGATATTTATGTCATAATACTGAATGATTACCACATTCATATTCACCATATTTTTAACACTCCAAGATATATATATTTTTTTTTTTCACAGAATACCTTGGCACATGTCTAAAAAAAAGTTTTAAGTTTTGGTACATTTTTGTTAGTGATGTGTTTTCCAATCTAGGTCACAAGATGAATCTATATATAAATGCAGAGCTATATTCAGTAGGACAGAGCTATATTCAATCACCTTGTGTCCATTCCACACAGTTACACTGCAGGTGTACACTGCAAACTATACATATAGACATACACACACACTATTATATATATATATATATATATATATATATATATATATATATATTAGTAAAGTATGGTGTCTCTCACCTGCAGGTCTCGGATGTCAAATGGCTCTTCATAGATATAGGCTGCATCCGCTCCAGCCGCCAGCCCGCCCACCGTTGCCAGGTAACCACAGTAACCGCCCATCGTCTCAATGATGAACACACGACGCTTGGTTCCGCTGGCCGACTGCTTTATACGATCACATGTCTGACACACACATTTTTATAGTTAAAGAATGAAACATATCTGTTATTATCACACTCATGCACAAGCCAGTGCAGTTCTGACACATAAAGTAAACATTTAGACATACAGGATATTACTGAAGTATAACAAAAGCATAAAGCATGGTCCAAAATTAACTGGCCAATGGTGGGTAAATGAAAAAAGTATTTAAATATTTATTGAAAACATTTTGGAAACTATTTTTTAATCATATTTTTTTTTCAATCATAAAAACTGTGCACTGGTTGAGTGTTAATTTTGGACCTGTGCGCAAGCCATCACATCCAAGCACAAGGCACTATATAGTTCACAACAACAGAGAACATGCATGTGGTTTCAACTCATAAATAAGTGTTTAGGTGCAGTTTCTTTTTTGGGATGATAAATGTTTGCCATGCAACTTAGGAAAATATACAAACGTTTCAGATCAGCATAGAAATATTTCCTGTAGTGGACAAAAATGGTTTTGTATGTTATTTAACCTCAGATAATGTAACTTGCATCTAAAGCTTAATATCTCATGGGCAGATATTTATGTGAGGACATAAAAAAAATAAAAGATACCTGGCAAAACATTCTGTATGCATTTCTCATAACCAGATATGATTGTAAAAATGTAAAGGTGCACTAAGAAGTTTTTTCAATTGTAAAAAATAAATAAATAAATAAATAAATATAATATTTTTATATATATTCTTTTTTTTTTATTACATTTGACAAATGCATTTAAAGTGATATTTATCATTTTATGGTACCTAAAAGCAAATCACATGACCAGCCAAACACTTCACTTTATCACAGTAAACCACCTACCATTGTTCACTACATCTCGGAATAAATTATGCATGTCAAAATGTCTAATGTCTAATTTTCATTTTTTGTTGAACTATTTCTTTAACCAAAAATGACTTAGTGCACCTATAAAGATACAACCTGACAAATTCTCTCTTTCCATTTCCGCTGTGCTGATCACTATCGTAACATCTGTCATTCCGGCTGAGGGTGGTGTGTCTTACCTCCACTATGGCATTGAGGGAGGTGTCAGCGCCAATGCTGAGGTCAGTGCCGGACACATTATTGCTGATGGTGGCGGGCAGCATGCACATGGGCACACAGAACTCCTCATACCTGCTGCGGGCTTCGACCAGCTGCAGCAAACTCTCAAAGGCCTGCAGCAGTGCACATGCATTAGGATGACTGCTCACTTACTTACTAGTGTACACTAAATAGGACGGAATATGCTGTCCTTTCTGATTGTTTTGAGGGGTAAAAGTGTTTCCTGTCTGATCAAGACCAACATATAGTTGACCAAAAGATGGAGCTCCAACTCGTGACGTGGGCATGGCCCTGGCTAAATGGTGACGGAGGGAAGTTATTTAGATAGCAGAAAGCCTCACAAACCGACTGACCGCAAAAGTGCAACCGACTGAACACACCTGCACAACCAGACCAATCTGCAGCACAACCAGACCCCAAACAGCACATCAAAACACACACATGCAGACAGAAACACACAAGACATCAGGCCTGGCCCAAAACAGTATGCAGTTAGTTGCACTTACATTTGATTTGATTTGTTATTAACAACTTAATGTCTATGGACAGAATGTTGCATGCATTCTAACTGAAATATTAATGTAAGAAATCGTCAGTTTGACACAAATGCTGTCCATAGACATTAAAATGTTACTGAGCATCAGTGATTAAGAACTAAAGCATGCAATTATTTATTACTGCTGAAACCCACAAAATGAAGTTATTCCACAACAACATAAATAGGATATTTTAGCCATCAAATGGTTTTAGTTGTTCAGTGTTTATATATATATATATATATTATATATATATATATA